ACCCAAATTCCTACTTTAGATATTGGATTGCTATTTTTTTCATTGAAAATATTTTCCAACTTTCAAAAATATGTCTAATTTTCATTGTTTTAATGAAAATATTTTTTTTGGGGAGATAGGTTTTTATTTTCCTCAAAATAAGGAAAATATTTTCTTTCCTAGGTGATTTTTTGAAAATTTTGGGACTAATTGCAGTTATTTCTTGTTTTCTCTTTTTTCTTTATTTTCACTTTGTTTATTTAATGAGGAGAGTAGATTCATCACTTGACAAGGTTTTAATGTTGAAAATGGATGACAAAAATGATTTGTACAAGATTTAATTGATCTTATGGTGAAATGCATAAAATCAAAAGGATAAAGACGATATGCATGAAATAAACAAAGCATCGAAACATTTGTATTAACTAATAGTAAGCACGTGCATTGCACGTCTTATATATCAAATGAATGATATGCGTAATATTTTTTAAATATTAATACTATTTTTTAAAATAGTTGATGTAATTGATATTGTTAAAGGAAAATTGCAAATTGTAAATATATAAACATATATATGAATAAAAATTTTATGAAATTGTGTTTATAATGTGAAAATGTTGAACAAGGGTTGATTGCTATTATTTTTTCACTTTGAAATCGGTATGTGTTTCCTCTCTCAAGCATGGGAAAAACTTTTCGATTATATCCTTAAACAACATAAATTAGAAATTACTTCCTGAAAACATTATAAAAATAACCGATTAGTTTAATGGTGAAACTTTCAATAAAAAAAAACAAAAACAAAAAGTATTGGTTAATTCAGACATTATATAATACATTCCCATTACACAAAATTAGTTTTAAAACTTCAATAGGACCGTTCTTATTGTAGTAGATCTCAAGGGAACTTTTTGAAGTATATATACTTTTATAATCCACTATTTTTCAAAAATATTAAGTTTGTCTTATAAAGATATAATCATAATCTTTGATTGGCGACGTCAACCCTACATATATGAAAACAAATTTAAGCTATGACAATAAAAATATACATCAATAATTAACAAAATGGGAAAAGTTAATATTTTTCAAATTAAGCTGACGATCTAGCACATTTTATTTATCTATTTATGAATCGGATCCAATTTTTGTTAGTGTTTCGACGATGATGTAATTATCTGTGATGTTTCTAGCATACAAAATAAAAAAGTCATTGATATCTTAGTTTAGTAATTTATTTATCAAAGTTGGAAAAAACTATATCGCAAATATATGATATATCATATAACACATTTCTTTATCAAGAATGTGATTACGCTCAGATATCAATATAATGCAACAACATATGCTAATTATGATTAACTCTTTAGAATTTGTTTATTGCCGAAAATTAGGTAAATATGAAAAAAAAAATCAAATGATATTATTTAATATAAAAATCAATTAAAGACCAACACAAAATGGCTACTGTTCACGTTTCAATAAAATCGTAATTGCCGAAGTTTGGTATAATTTGCACCTATGCTGATGCCCCATCATCACTTCTAAATGTAATTATTAAATCATGGTTTAATAAATAATAAAACAACTAAATAGAAGCCATAAATTTTGAAATATAAAAAATATAAATCGTCATGCCAAAGAAATGGTGAATAGAATATGGCATATAAATGTCCAACAAAAAATGGCTCTACAAAAATAAAATTAATAATGCATATTTGCATGAAATATGATGAGAAAATAACATTGTCAGGTTGCCACGTGATTAGGATGCCCCAAACAAAGTATATATATAATTAAAATGATTCGTAGTAATTGATAAATCTAATATAGAAATTTCATACAATTAAATCCATGATATTAGAGATTAAATTGAAATGCAAATCAAGCTTGACTAATCGTAAAATAAATAAATAAATACAATCACAAAACTCATTGGCTTGTAAGTAGCTTATAGTATTCATTGGGGAGCATTCCTCTTACACATGGATTTGACAAGTATTTTTGACAAATAATCCGACCTTTAATTTAATCGAATCTAATGGTCAGTATGTATTTCACTAGGATGTTGGGAGAGTTAGTTATAACCGCTTGAGATCCATGAGATACTAACAGTTGAATTTGTTTAAATTAAAAGTCACGATTATTTGTCAAATCCATGTGTAGGAGGAACGCTTTCCATCATCATTTAGATCGACATTACTAAAAGAATCAAAAAATAAAAATAGAGAGACAAGAACTACATTATCTTTTTCGCATGATCAAAAATTTCGTGAAAGACAAAAATAACCATTTTTTGTAGAATTTATCTTACCCAAATCGACTTCTCCAAAACTCCAATGTCCAACATGAATAGATTAACATATATAAGCATCATCTAGGCTATTTTCGAGTTTTAAGAAACTCTAGCCCATAATAAATTGTTTTGTTGATAATAATTCTTACCTTTAGTCCACAATAAACTGTTTTGATTAAGAACAGTTCTACAATGAAAAAAGTTGATTTTTATGGCTATAATAATCATAATTTTGTTTATTATCTAGTTTATGTACTAACACAAAGTAGTTCTACATTTCCCCTCTCATTTATTTACATTAAGCCCCCCCGTATGGCTTCTATTAAATTTCATTCCATTTTTTTTCTATTTTTAACCATACAATCTTCCATAAAACAATAACACACGTAAATCGAAATTTTTTCTTCTTTTCAACCACTCATTTTTCAAAAAAAAACTCTATTCCACACATTTTCATTTCCAAAAAACGAGGGCCAAACAAGGGTAATTATTAAGTATAAAAAAGCCTCTCTTAATTCCTTTCACATGCTCTCCATTGGCAGGAAATTCGAAAACGTAGCTTTAACAGACTCTCTTCATCTTCTTTCATTGTATGTTCTCTCTGTTAAAGTTGTGTGTGAATGGTTTAGAATTTCAACAAATACTACAATGTTATAATAATTTATTTAGTTTCATATAATGATAAGAATATAGAGAAAAAAAATTTAGGACTTAAGTATAAAAATAAGCAAGATTATAAATATTTATTGCTACTATAATTTTGAGTAGTTAATAAAACTTTTAATGGAAATATAATTACCCTACCATTTGGTATTCCGTTTTTATTTAAACTTAGATATTTTTAAATAAGGGTAAATATAACACAAAATGAAATTTTATCAAGTTATATAGTAGCATTCTGTATGCATTAATTTTATTTATATTATTTAGTTGTTACGATATGTGTGAAACAATCAAATGAAACAGACATTTAAATAAGGGTAAAAAGAATGTATTAGACATATAACTAAATATATAAGGGTAAATTTGGATAATTATATTCACACCACAATTTTTATATCTTACACAACTTTTTTAATTGCACTTTATATTTTTAATCTTTGCTCATTCTAGCATTTATGTTTCTAATGATTTTTCATATAATTCTTATCTTAAAACTTTTCATTGATTAACACATTTTGTATTTGTAATTTTTGGTCCAAAAGTCCGTTGAAATAATGTTATACAACTTATTTTTTTATCATATTTTTAAAAAAACAAATGAATAAAAGTACCAAAAAAATTATTTTTTCATTTCAAAAAATAAAAATAAAATATTTTGATATAAATCATCATCAACAACGAAACATACTAATTATTGAAAAGTTGAAAATAAAAATTTGACAAAATAATTTCAAAAAATAATTGTTATAATGAGTAACGATCGATGATCTTAATTATAATTAAAATGTGATATATTAAATAAAAATTGTGATAACAATATCATTACCCTTAAATATATCGTAGATCATTTTTTTTTTTTTAAAGGAGTTAAAATTTGAACCTTTGACAGCCTGCCAGTCACATTTTTTTAAGGAAAAATTGCAACAGAAATACTAAACCTTTTGTTTAATGGCAGACTTTGTCCAAACCTTTGATTTGTGCCACTGTGAGTACCAAACCTTTAAAAAAATATGCAGCTCAAGTCCAAAATGACGATTTCCGTCTGTTTGACCCCAAAATCCGTCAGTTGACCCGAGAAATAAAAAATTTAATAATTTGACCATATAAGACAAGACTAAAATGGTCATTTTACTATTTTAATATAAATAAATTAATTAAACTAATATATATATATATAGACACACACACAACCTCTATATGTATTTCTTCTCATACCTACCTACCCAATAATGGGGAAATCAGTCTCGCCATATGCCACCCACAACCCACCGTTGGTAGTGCCATACCCGTAAATCACTGCCCCCACTCCCACCCGTAAAAAATTTGGAGTAAAAACTTCCCATTATTAAATCTCAAGTCCCCTATAGAACATGAATGGAAAATAATGAGGAGATTTAGAAATTGGAAAATGAGCAATTTCTGATTTCCAATTCCAGGGTTCATTGTGAGTTTTGATTTGGTGGAAATGAATTACAGAAGCTTTCAAGGGATGAAAATCGGGGTTTGAAAAATACGATTTTCTTAAGTGGTGGATAGTTGTAGCACGCGACGGTGGGTGTTTGTAGCACGCGATGGTGAGTGGTTGTAGGAACCGATGGTGGGTGGTGCTGTGTTTTGGTGGGATTGGGGGATGGGGGTTGGGGTTGTTGGAGGAGATGACCAATTTTCCTTTTTCCTTTTTTTATTGTTTTATATTAAAATGGTAAAATGACCATTTTAGCCTTGTCTTATGTGGTCAAATTATTAAAGTTTTAATTTATGGGGTCAACTGACGGATTTTGGGGTCAAACAGACGGAAACAGTCATTTTGTACTTGAGCTGCATATTTTTTAAAGGTTTGGTACTCACGGTGGCACAAATCAAAAGTTTGGATAAAGTCTACTAATAAACGAAAGATTTAGTACTTTGGCTGCAATTTTCCCTTTTTTAATTTGGCTTGGCACCAAACGACGGTAATTAAAAAATAATAATAATAATAAAATTAAAAAAAAAAAATTTGTGACGCTCGAACCGACTCGCGAAAAATAAATTATGCTCAGCTCGAGACGAACTCGAGCCACCAAGCCGAGCCTGCGACGCCCGTTTCCCACCTAATTTATCACATACTAAAAAAGCCGTGCCCTAGTCTTGCCTTGATACTATGGCTTCTCTAGACAGCGATATAACTATGGTTCCGGCTGGCGAGGGATCCTTCGGTGCCGGTCCTTCCTCCGGTAATCCTACTCCGTCGACATCAACCAAGAAAGCCAAGCGATTCGAGATCAAGAAATGGAACGCCGTCGCGCTCTGGGCTTGGGGTATAAACATTAACCTAACTCTACCACGCACGCGCACACACACGTTTAAGTGATGTATTGATTTTAGGTTTTGAAAAACCCCATTTATAACTCATGGTGCAGATATTGTGGTGGATAACTGTGCAATTTGCAGGAACCATATTATGGATCTCTGTGAGTTTTTACTTTGAGTTTGCCTTTTTTGTGTGTGGTTAAACGTGTTTATTGATTTCTGTATTGGTGTAATCAGGTATCGAGTGCCAGGCTAATCAAGCTAGTGCTACAAGCGAGGAGTGCACTGTAGCTTGGGGTATGAAGCTTCACTGAAACCCCGACTTTTTATTGGATTTTGTACATTAAACTGTTATTATATGCCTATTGAATTTTACTGTGACAGTGATCATCTTAGTTGAATTTATGGAATTTCAATTTTTTCTTCATATCAAGGATACAAATATGTTTGGAAGATGCTTTCTTAAGTTAATGGGATTATTGAAATTTGAAAGCCATTATGCAATTAGAGTTAGTAATGATTTGGTTATTGCATAGATGAGTTTGGTGGTGAGATTTTCTTTACTTTGCATTTTGATTAGAGCTTATTTACTGATCTTAAGGTGTTTCTGCCTCTATCTCATCTAGATTTTGATAATTTTCTTTATCATTTTTGTGAACTGTTATTTCTTTGGTTGTTTGTTAAAGGCCTGTTTGATCCTCATTAGCTAAAAATTCATTTTTTCTCAAACTCATTTTGAACTACACATTCTTCTAATAATATGAGGCTGCACGTAAACTTAAAACTTTTCTCTACTTTCTAACCACATTGTCCAAAAAATCACCATTACAAAACTCTTTTTAAAGAAAAATGGGTCTCGAACACATAGTAAATATGTGCCTTTGTTAGCTGGACAGGATCAACTTCATGAATAATTTAAATGAACAACTCATCAGTTTTCTGCCGCGGATATTTTGGAGATCATATATGATGTGTTAATATTTTCTTCTTTTTAATGATATCAATACAGTAATGTTTGTTCTCTCATGATTCTCGGCATTGCACATCATACATTCTCTACTAATACTTATACACCTTAAAAGATATTAGACAATTATATGTTATGGTTTATCATTTTTTATTAGGTTTTATTTCTTTCGAGAATGGTTTGTTAACTTTAGGCAGTTTTCATATCAATTTTATGCTTTCACTGAATTAGCACTTTCTTTCAGTAAAAATTGGAGTAAGCTAACAATCTAACCTATACTTGCATGGCATCTCTAAATTATCGTGATTTAGTAACCTACTCGATAAAGGGGGACTGGAATTCCATTTAATGTATGCCTGTACACTGCCTTTAACTCATGGTTAACTTCTATAAAACATAAAAAGAAAAAGAAAGTTTCCAAAACTGAGATTAGAGTAGACAAAAATGGGGGAGTCCCCTATTTGACAATGAACAAAAAGTCATTCTTCTTGAAAATAAAATTCTGGTTTGTTTCGGTTAATCCTTTTGCCCCTAAATTTGATTCATCGTTGCATCAGCAGAAAGATTAAATAAAATAAAATATTTTGCAACTACGTTTCAGCAGAAAGACTAAATAAAATAAAAAATATTGCAACTAAATGAGGCCATGTAATTCTGGCCTACATTTGCATCTTCTAAGAATGGGACTAAATGACATGTGAATGAGTGTTTCTTTAGGTGGACAAAAATATGCCATCCACCTAAGTTGAACTTAATCTTTATTTGACTTATGCTACCTGGCGTCATTAAATAACCAAAGGGGCTGGAAAATGTTGGGATTTTTGGACCCATATGAGCTTTGAAGAAATTGTTCTTTCTATTCATATTTGTACACCATAAATAACATAAACAAATTAATGTCTGTTAACAGTTTTCCCAAAAACCATTTGGGTGGGAAGAGATTCTAAGAAAGTGAATGCATTCGAGTGATAAACCTATGCAGTTTGTATATTGATCTCAGTGGTTGTTTCTCCAACTTTTTCTCTTCACTTCGCTGAAATATGTTTGAATCACGCCATATTGAATGCTTATTTTCTTATACAAGAGCCATGAGAAAGGAAGCATGAAGAAAAGGAAATCGGAAGAATGGAGAGTGAGAGAGGTTTAAGATTACTGTCGATAGTGCATTCAAATTTGATAAAGAAATGAGAATCTTACGTACCTGCATAGCTAATTGATTGTCTCTTTCTTCCCCCTCCCGCACTCCTTGTATGAATAATTCAAGTTTTCGTAACTAGCCTCCAATGATGAGATGGTTCTTGACTGAAGATGATTGTTCCTGCATTTGGTCAAATAATGATAACTGTTGCTGCAAAATAATAGTAACTTGAAAGAGAGAAACTTTGTATTATGAAAATAGTATATTGGATAAAGAACCTTAAATTTGTATGCCATTTGAAAGAATGATGATGAATTGTGTGAAAAGGCTGTTAACTGGAGATGGAAGTCTAAGGCCTTTTTGAGTTATTTTCTTTTTGATTAATGTAGTAAATATAAAAATCGAAAGGTACTGATTGAAGGATGGGTGTCAGATGAAAAATAGGTAACCAGGTTAGTGGAGTCCTTAAATGGCCAAATTTTTAAGTCACCACGGTCCACATAGCTTGTGCATGTTGGCATCCTGGCTCAGAGCATTTTCAATGAGATGATGTGCTCTCCGCAAAAGTCGGAATATAAATGGTATAATATGACCAGGAAATTTAATATTGTGAGAACTTAAGGAAGAGACCGTTTGAAATACTATGTATAAATTCATAAGAAGGAAAACATTAATTTGGTCCTCCGGAAATAATAATAGTTGTGGTAATTTTACTGAAGGACTTCCATTCATGGTGCTGATACTAATTGGAGTGAGAATTTAAGTAATTTATGATGTCCAGAAAATCAAGTATTGTCTTTCACCATGTCTTGTGTTTTTTATTGTTTTTCGTACTTTGTATGTAGCATAATTTCTGCATACTCCCCTTAATGGTGTTTTTATCAACTGATTACTTTTTTTCCCTTGTTTATTTTAGTACAAATAATAAGCATCATTAAACTATTAGTTCTTAGGTTTAGGAACTGATTGGGCATAACACACTTCCACACAACCAGGATAGATGAGCAAAAAAGAATTGAAACTTTGCTGTATGAATTTTGGCATCAAGTCATGATGGCATTATCTATTCTTCATAAGATGGATGCTTTAGAACGCTGCATGCTTATTTTTTCTAGTCATCAAGAACAAAGAAATATTGTTGTATGATTTGAAGATGTGGAAGACAGATTCCTGAGTGTTTGGATCTTCTTTAGGTCTGAATGCGTAGTGGTATATCATCTTTTTTGTATGCTTCTGATATTGAGTTGCATTAACTGGGGATGAAATTTTGTCATTTCCGTATACTGTTTCTTGTACACCTTATTCTTTACAAGGTAATCATCTTAGCAGTCTGTTAAGATTGTGTTGTTTGGAATCACTGTTGAACAAGATAATGAGGCTTCTAGTTTAAATCAAACTTTCTGATAGTCAGCTTTGTTCAAATTGGATTCTTGAGCCATGCCTTGTACATTTTTTATTTATTTATTTATTTTTCTGGTTTTCCATTTATTAGTGCATTATATGAGGCACATTAACTATGGTAGATTTTGTGTGTAATAATTTGGCAAATGGTCCTCCATTCCATTGGCGCACATTTGTCCTTTGATTGAGACAAGTTTTTTGACCCCTTATTTTGTTTAGGCGTTTGCAATCATGCATTTCACTTCCATTGCATTAGTCGATGGCTGAAGACTCGTCAAGTTTGCCCTTTGGGTAAGTTGTTGTACTGTTTTCCATTCTCTATTATAATCACCTCCATTTTACAATTCATTATCATTTCATTACCATTGTACAGACAACAGCGAGTGGGAGTTTCAGAAGTATGGTCATTAGAAACTTTTCGGATGGATGTCAGAGCTATCTTCAGAAGTCTGGTTGGGATGAACGTCCGAGCTATCTTTTTTAGTCAACATCTGGACAGATTCATAGCATTCTAAATGCTTATGGTACTCTAGTTATTGTTGATGCGATTACTTGAAATCTCTGTTACAGAATGAATCCTATATCCTGACCAATAATTCTGATGCTTAATTGCAGCATATGTTAGTGCTTGTGTTGCTATTCGTTCTGTTAATGTTTTCAATTAAAGCAGAATTTGTGACAATTGCAGTTCTTGCGGTGGTTTGAATTATGTTACTTTGCTCTAAATTGATAAATGGCTTGAAAGATTTTGTGGAAAAACCAGTTCCTTAACCTTGTTTTTACCGATTTATTATTTATTATTTTTATTTTTATTTTTTTTTTAGAAAAAAATAAAATAATAATGCCCTGTGGCTTTATTTTTTATTTTTTATTTTTTAACGAGGTGTCCCAGCTTGCGCCAGATTATATCCTCGTCCCTGAACCTCCGGCCCCTCAGCTGCTCAGGGAGGTAAATCGCAGGATGTACCCTTGTTGGTTTCCAGGTTCTCACATGGCTTTTACTCCTTCCCCAAAAGAAGTCTCCTCCATGGTGATTAATCCACCAATAATTCCTCCTTTATTGGATCAAAGGTTCCCACCAGGAATCGAACTCCTCACGCTTGGTTCCAGAGCCCCCCAATGTAATTGTTCCGCCAACTTGGATGTGCCCTGGGGGGCCCCGTAGCTTTATTTAAAAATGTAGAAGGTTGTTCAAGTGAAAATGGAAATTGAAGGCTTTTTGACTGTGAAATTACCAGTAGCATCTGTTTGGCAAAATTTATGAATTATTGAAATTGATTTTTTAACTATATGTTTTAATGTATTTATTACAAGTAATATCTATTTACTACTCTTTTTTATCTCTTTATAAATTAAAATCGTTTATAAACGGTTAATATTGTTAAAAATTTTAATACATGGTAATAGTACATATTTTTCAACAATACGGCGTGCTTCAAATTGCTCAATCCCAACTTCATATATCGCACTTGTTTGGTAGCAATTTTTTGTTTTAAAAAATCAATTTTCTGATCGTTATTTTACTACTCTAATCGTCAATTTTGACTTTTTCACTCGTAGGTGTGATTCATTTTTTCTTTTTCTTTTTCTTTTTTTCTTTTAAACGGTAAAAAAATCAATTCTTATATTACTGAACATGTCCATAATAATCAACTTTTGTCCGTGTAATAGTATGAGGTAAAAGGAAAAATTGGAAAGTGGAAAACCATCATATCCAACATCTGTGGTGGAAATTTTTTATTTTTATTTTATTTGCCTTTCTTTTCTTTTCAATTAGTAAGTCCATCCAAACCTGCTTGAGGATGGTTCTACGACCTTTAGACTTGAGCTTGGAACAGCCCAAAGCTCAAGGGACGGAGGGGATATGGCAAGACTCGGACATGATTATGTCTTGCCATAGGCAATCGAGCCTATGTTTCAATGATCCATACGCTTGCATCTATTAACTTTTAACTCCACAATTTAAATGTTCTAAGTCACGAGACTACGGAATTCCATGGGACAAAGAATCTTTGTTTTGCTGTATGAATCATCTATACAAACAGGCTCGATGACAGGGATTAAAAGCAGGAAATACGTGATGCAACATCATTAGACAATTTGAAAAAATAAATAACCTTAGCCACACAGGTGCTGCGAATGTTTAGATACAGGCATAGAATGTATCATTTTTCGTAGGACCAAAATAATAAAAAAAGAAAATTAAGGATGTATTTGATACACCCAAATTTTTACCAATTCCAACTTACACTTTTACATTGTTTGATGGCATTTTTTATTTTTTTTTTACCCAGAATTCATTTTCCACTTTTTTTGCCACGTAAACTAAATTCCACATATTCCTTGAGAATTCCAATTTCGATCACTGTACAAGTTTTTTTTTTTTTTTTTGGGCAACGGAAACAAATTATAAGAATTATTGTAAAAAAATATTTCCTTTTAATTGACATTTTCCATATAAAACAAAGTCAAACGAACACCAAAAGGTCGATTATTTTCTTGGTTTTTTTTTTTTTTTGTAATGGAAATAAGTTTCATTCCCGATACCAATAATTGTATCCCTTTAATTGACAACTTTCATATAAAACAGAGTCAAACGAACACTAAAAAATACTTTTGTTTCAACATTTTTCACGTGGAAAATTATACCAATTAAACACAATAATTTACAATTTTCAGGAAAACAATTTCTAAGTAATTCAATTTCTTGGAATTCATTTTTTTTTTTCCATCAAAATTCCCTCTTCGCAATCAAATGGACCCTAAGTGGCCCAGACATATTTAGTGCAATTTAGCCAATAACAAATATTTAACCTGGTGCTTTATTAAAGTAATTAAGCAAAGGCGTGGTGGTGTTTGATTTCCCAACATCTTCAATCTTCACATTAATAAACCCACTATTATTAATATAGAAAAAAAAATTAAAAATTAAAACCCCATGTAATTAGCAGGCACACGCCTTAACCACTTGGCCAAAGCTATACTCGTGACATAATCTAATAGATATCATTATAAATAGTAAATCTCTTTGTCAAATTTATAATGTCTCTGGTCAACACTTTTTAAAATATGATTGTTCAGTAGAATGTCACAGAGCAGACCCATGAGGTCCGCCCCACACGGGCCCCACAGATGATAAAAAATTGCCAAAAAAATGCTAACCTCCCCTTTTTGTGTGTAGTCTGTATAACCTCTGTGAGTCCCCATTCTGTACGTGTAGTGCATTCTTTAGGCAAACTTCCAAGAAAGATAGGACTTGCGATGTCTAAATGGACTATTAACCTTGTTCACTTTTGTTTAGTTGGTAATAATGCAAAGATAGTTCGACATTCGTGCAAAAAGAATGGGGTAAAATATAAAATAATAACAATAATAAAAAAAATTGAAGATGGGATTATATATTTTCCAAAAAAATAAAAATAAAAATTAGACATTATTTAAAAACTCAAAAATAGAATATAAAAATTCATGCTCATCCTAAGCCCCTATTTTATGTCCATTGTTCCATAAAAATGAATTTTGTAGTAGTGAAGTTTTAGAGAATGTGTGGTTAAAACGTAGGAGAAAATTTAGAATTTATGTGCGAAATATTTTATTGTTAGAATATAGTTTGAAAATCAGTTTTGAAACGATGAGAATCAAACGGAGGCTAAAAGTGTCATGTGAATGAAATTAGACCTTTGTTTATTAGAAATTAAAATTCATATTTTAATATTAATTAACAATTAACAATTAATCTTAACCGAATATTTTATTGGATCAACAACTTTTCAACCACACATTTCATTAACTTTTATAAAATTTACTAAAGATCATATTTTAATTTCCACCGAACAAGGACTATACGTCCAAAAGAATAGTACAAAATATCTCAAAATAATAATAATAATAATAATAATAATAATAATAATAATAATAATAATAATAATAATAATAAATATTGGTCTCTTACATTAAGGTCTATGATGCATATATGTAGCTATATGATAAGAGTGTGAAAATGATGGTTTTTGTGTAACAATTATCAGAGTTTACCCTTTTTCTCTAAATTAGATGCAAATCAAAATAAATAATTAAATTTAAGGGTCTTCATTATGTGATATACATTAAAAAACAGTATGACCATAAAATGTAATAAATACTATGAATTATATATATTTATCATCTTGCAAGTCTCATTGGTCACTGATTTAATAGACTAGTTTCGGCTTTCACTTTTATTAGTGAACTTTTTTCGCACGGATGAGTATGTTAATTTGATTATAAATTATGTCAAGATCGGATGAGCTTTAACCAACAAGTTTTTTAATGTGTCATCCCAGTGTGTGACAAAGCTCCTGTTTGGCCCTCATTTTGTAGAAAAGAAAATGGGTGGAATAATATTTTTTTGAAAAATGAGTTATTGAAAAAGAAGGAAAAGTTTTCGATTTACGTATAATATTATTTTATGGAAAACAAATTGAGTGGTTTTTCCTTTGTCGTCATGATATCAACATGCGGTTAGTTTTATACTAGTTCAAAACTTCGCTAATTGATGGAGCTGTGGTTCTTCTATGAGTTAGATTCTTTCGGATCGCTAGATTAAACAACAGAAGAATGAGGATTATCTTTCACGTAAGGTGGTTATCACAACGTTTACAAGGCATGCTTCTAGATTCCCATTCTAATTAAATTTGTGAATCTAAGAACCCACGTGACTTACATGGATTTTAAATTTGATGGCATGAGCACTTAATCAAATTGTTCTAGGAGTTTAACTATTGCTTGTTTTTCGTTTATTAACCTATACTTTATTATAGTTTATTTTCATTTGCAATTATTTAATAAAAGGACATTTAGGTCCTTTTAGGCGTGGTCAGTGGCGGATCTAGGTAGTGGCGGCAGGGATGGACGCAAAAATTTTTAGTTAGGGGGCACAATCAAACTCTGTACAAATCGAATACTTTGTTATTGATTTTTGAATGATTTATATTCGATCCGAGAAAATGCAAATTTACATTTAAAAAACATTTTTTCATTAATATTTTGCTCATAATTTTCATGCATTTGATTTCGAACAATTATTTATATCTAGCTCATCACAAGAAAATTCATATTTATGTTTAAAAAATTTATAGTGTAATCAATTCAAGTGATCGAAAAAACATATGACCAATATTCAATCAAATAAATAAAATTTGTTAAATATAAGTTAAATTAGATATAATCAATTTAAACATATTCTATGTACACAACTAAGATAGAAGAAAATGCAAATTTAAATTCTAATTAATTGAAAATTTGATTGAAAAGTAATAATTTGTAGTAGATGTGATAATTTGTAGAAAATTTTAAACAAATTTTAAAAATTTTGAATAATTAAAGGTTTTGGTAAATGGTGTGAAGGAGAGTAAAATAGAGTAAAAGAGAAAGAAAAAGATTCAAATTTATTGTGATTTTGTTCCTGTTTGGTGGGGATTAAAATCAAATTTTTAGTAAATTTTGATAAAAGTTAAGGATTTCATGAAAAGATATTATTAAAATTAATTATTAACTTTGATTTAAATTAAAATTTAGATTTCAATCGATACCAAACGAGACTTATAATAGGTATATATAAATAAATAAATAACTTCAAAATTTGGAGGGTCACTCGACCCTGGATGAACCCCCTTGGGTCTGCCACTGGTGGGCCCTAGCTGAATCGGCCAGAAGCCTTTTTTTTTTTTCCTAACAATAGATTAAGGTTTTAGGTTATATTACTGATAATTCTTTTTTCTTTCAAATTCTCC